TGCTCAGGTTAGCAGGGAAAGTGGCATTGGTGACTGGTGGAGCCACCGGTATTGGAGAAAGCATTGTGCGCCTATTCCACAGACATGGTGCAAAAGTTTGTTTAGTTGATGTGCAGGACAACCTATCCTTGCAAGTCTGCGAATCGCTCGGTGGTGACCCAAATGTTAGTTATTTCCATTGTGATGTCACAATAGAGGATGATGTTAGCCGTGCAGTTGATTTCACGGTCAATAAATATGGCACACTTGATATCATCGTCAACAATGCTGGGGTGTCAGGCTCACCTTGTCCCGACATCCGCGATGCAGACTTATCCGAGTTTGAGAAGGTATTTGATATTAATGTGAAGGGAGTCTTCCTTGGAATGAAACACGCAGCTAGGATAATGATCCCACTGAAGAAGGGCAGTATAATTTCCCTTTCCAGTGTTTCAAGTGCTTTAGGAGGCTTGGGACCACATGCATACACAGGGTCCAAGCATGCTGTATTGGGGCTCACCAAGAATGTTGCTGCCGAGCTTGGAATTCATGGGATTCGTGTTAACTGTGTTTCTCCTTACGGAGTTGCGACAAATTTGGCTTTGGCTCACTTGCACGAGGAGGAGAGAACTGAAGATGCCTGGGCAGGTTTCCGTTCGTTTCTAGGGAGAAATGCCAACTTGCAAGGAGTAGAATTGACTGTTGATGATGTAGCTAATGCTGTGCTCTTCTTAGCAAGTGATGAGTCCAAGTACATAAGTGGAGATAATCTTATGATTGATGGGGGCTTCACTTGTGTAAATCACTCACTAAGAGCATTTAGATGATGGGGTAAAGTTAATCGGATTGGTGCCTTGTTTCGAATGGCAGCTTGGAGCATGTTGTGTTAGGCTCTCATAAACTTAGGTATTGGCTAAATAGTATGCTTGGAAAAGATTGGACGTGGATCGAGATTGCCGGAGGCTGGAAAGTTTAGAAGTCAATTAATTATTGCTCTTGGTATTTATAAATGTAAACGAGATTGTTTTTTTAACTGTATTGTGAACTAGATATGAATCATTACAGCGCATGAGTCTGCTTATAAAGATAGTGTTCATGCAGTGCTTGAATAATCATAAATAATAATTCACTGTCCCACGGGCACCATATTTCTCCAAATTCGTTACCACAAAAGCTCAAACCAGGAAGAATGAGAAATGACTACCGGTCTTTTCATGAGAATACAAAGAGATTGAAA